TGGAAATAATAAAGGTCAAAATATATGAAGATACCCAATTGTACTATAATTAATGCAAATGAAATAGTAATTTCTGTTTTTATATTGGTGAAAATGTTAAAGGTTAACAGTATATAACATTGACAAAACATATGAATGAGGCCCCACTTCCCCCTCCTGTGGGGGTCTAGGGGCAGTTAATGGTTTCTAGGGGAGGAAGAGATAGCCACTGTTAAGTTGCTCAGGCTCTGGTTATAAACAAACAACAAAACAAAAACAAACAAACAAACAAAAAACAAGAACCCTCATCTATGTTCTTATAAGCAACCCTAATTAACTCATTTGGTCATAAAAAAAGAATGGGGGGAGGATTAAGGAGAGGAGGATAAGGAAGAGGAGGAGGAGGAGGAGGAGGAGGAGGAGGAGGAGGAGAAGGAAGACTACATGAAAGTTGAATGGGGACTAGTTAGGAGGAGGAAGGGGATCAGCATGAGTAGGAGGGGGACAAGAGAGGGACCCATGGGAGTGAATCCGATCAGAATACATTATATATGTGAATGAAAATGCCATAATGAAACTCATGATTACATATGAGTATATATGTTAATAAAACACTTTTAAAAAAATTTGGAAGTAGATCTTCTTGAACATTGTTCTAACAATGTAATTACTGGGCACAAATTTTGGAGAATAATTTGACAGTCCCTATCAAAATAAAAATAATGTATACCTAGTGGCCCAGCAATATCACTTCCTGGAACTTAGCTTAGAAAATTATTATCATAAGCAAATAAAATCATATATATACATATATATAGTTATATATAAGGTTACTTCAAGTACTGCTAAAAATATATTTAAAAATACAATAAGTCACTTTATTAAATAAATTATGTCATATCCATATGATGGAATGCTACACAGAAAAAAAAAGAAAGGTAGTAAAAAAAATTCTGGGCATGGTGGTATGATGAGGTTGGCAAATCCTCTTAGCAAAATAAAAATATAAAACTAGATAAAATCAGGGCTGGAGAGATGGCTCAATGGTTAAGAGCACTAGCTGCTCTTGCAGAGGACCTGAGTTCAATCTCAGCACCCTCATGGCATATAACAACCTTCTGAACTCCAGTTCCAGGGAATCCAATGCTCTTTTCTTACCTCTAAAGGCACTGCATGACAAAAGTACACTTACATATATGCAGGCAATACACTAATACACATAAAAGTAATAAATAAAATATTTTTAAATAACTAGATAAAATCATCAATTACAAACATCTGGATGCTATAGAAATTTATCAATGTCACAGGATAAATTAGGAAGCATTTTTCTTGAAAAATGAAATTTGTACTTAAAACATAGAAAATAAAAAATAAAAATCTAACTCCAAACTCAAGTGGTTTCTCGGAGAAATTTTATAAAACGTTTAAGGAAGAAACATTTCCAATGTTATACAAACTTATTTGGAATACAGCAAAGGAGAGAACACTTCCAAACAAACTTTACATGTGCAGCATTACCCTGATATCAAAAAGAAAGACAGTAGTATAAAAGGACACTACAGGACAGTATTTGTCACAAATCTAAGTTTAAAGATGTTTAACAAGGAGCTAGAGAGATGGCTCAGCAGTTAAGACTGCTCTTACAGAGGACCTGGGTTTGATTCCCTGCACCCACATGGCGGCTACGAACCATCCTTAACTCCAGTTCCAGGGGAATCC